TGTGTGTGTGTGTGTGTGTGTGTGTGTGTGTGTGTGTGTGTGTGTGTACTAGGGGTAAGCTATGAAGGGCTTTGAACGCTGAACAGAGGATTTTATATTTGATCCTAGAGGTGATATGGAACCACTGGAGTTTGGGTTGGGTCGGGGGAAAGGGAAATGACATAGTTATAATTAGGGCTTTAAAAATAAAGAACACTCCACAAATTTACTCACTGTTACAGAGTTAAGTCGGACCACCTACTCCTCAGGGTTGTTGTGAGTAAAGTACTCCGTAAAATTTAAAATAAGAAAAGGGACTCGATCTGGAAAACGCAAGTCAGCGCCTTCTCTCTAATTTCGTCCCTTGGAGCTAAGGAGAGCACAGCCCTGCTCAGCCCCTTGCCCGCTCACTCAGCCAACACGTATCAAAGGAGGGAATCTCCTGGTTTTGGGGCCGGCTCGCTTTCCATCATATAATCCACCTGCCTCTTCAATGGTTTCATCAAAACATTCTTATCACTATTATTGTCATCATTGTTTTCATTTTCATCAACGTCGTCGTCATCATTGCCCATATAGCCTCAGTTTCCCTACTTACAAAATGAGGTCGTTGGATTAGATTACTGGTTCTGGACTTGAAATTCGTGAACTTCTTTTAAAAAATATTTTCATAACTGTCAACATAATTTTTTTTTTTGTAGTTCTATGTCTTATATCCATTTAAACGCATTATTTTGAAAAGGTGTCCATAAGCCGAAGAAGTCCATGACACAGAAAAGGCTGTAACAACTCCAGCTGACGAACTACAGAGACGAACATCTGTTGCAGTCCGGTTTCAAGACGAGGTTAGGTGTACCACTCATTCTCTAGAATACGAATCCCAGCATGCATTGTCTCCGACGCCGCGCCCACCGGGTACTATGGTGAAAACTGCATGCTGGGATTTGTAGTCTTACCTTTGTGTGTTGGTGGGGATTTGATTGGGGAGTGTGGGTGTGTTTTCTCGCGTTTCCTTTCCTTCGGCACCCAGGCGGAGCCCGGTCCCGTCCCCGGAAGCTGGGTGAGGGGCGGGGGCTCCGAGCGTAGGTCAGAGGTTGTAGGTCAGTCAAACACCGCCTCAGCGGGACTCCTCCATCGCTATGTAGCTCGCCGGCTGGAAGGGTGGCTGCGCCTTCTGGAAACTTCCATCGAGAAAGCGCGTCGCGGGCTGGGCGGCCCCTGCAGCTGCCGCAGCCGTCTGCGCCCAGCTCCGGGGGCTTTTCTCGCTCCCGCTCCGCGGAGGAGCCACCGCTGCCGCCATGTTCGGCTGCCTGGTGGCCGGGAGGCTGGTAAGGGACCGGGACTGGCAGCGGGGCAACCAGGGTGGGCGGGGCAGCACCGGGCCTGGGGGGATGGTCCGGGTCGTGGACGCCTGGGACGTACGATGGGGGTGTGTGTGTGTGTGTGTGTGTGAGATTGTGTAGTGTGCATGTGTGTAGTATGTGCGTGTGTAATGTGTTGTAGTGAGTGTAGTGTGTATATTCGATGTGGAGTGTGCATGTGTGGTATATTTAATGTGTGTAGTGTGTGAATGCGCATGTGTAGTGTGTTTAATATATGGTGTGTATGTAATGTGTAGTGTGGCATCGCTTTTGTTGTGTGACAGTGTTAGGTCCTGTAAGTGCCAGTTTTATGCTTTCGGAGGCCGGTGTGTGTGAATATACGTCTGCGTCTCCTCGTGTGCACACACACACATAAATGGTCATCCATGCACACCAGCATCAGCGCAGGACCGGCTTTGGGGTGAAGCGGAAGAAGCTCTGGATTCACAACCATCATAGGACCTGGCACTGAATCCGCCTGCTCTGCTGCTTTCAACTGTGTCATGAGCTGGGGATTCTTTTCTTTCCTCCTGGTAGCCTAGCGCTTGCATAGCTGAGTGCCTGTCACGTGGGAAGTAGGGGCTTAATGAATGCTTGTTGATTTATCTAGGCTTCAGGGTCCTCTTCTGTGAAACGGGAGGTTGGGTTAGGTAAAATAAAAGAGCTCGAGACCATTTTGTGTCACAAACCTTCCCCCTACCCCCAACCTTTGACAGTCTGGAAAAGCCTGTGGACTCCTCAGGATGTTTTTAAATGCGTAAATAAAATACGTAGGATTACAGGAAATGAATTATGTTGAAATAGTTATCAAAATAACTAAAAAATTATGAGTTCACAGACAACAGATTAACACTAGAAGGATCAGGCGCATCAATTGACAAAAAAAATTGTTTTGAAATAAAATTTTTCTACTATCTACATTTTCTTTATGGATAAAAAAAGAATACTCTGAGTCAATCAGTTATTTTTAAGATCCAGTTCTTCAAGTTTAAGAAGATAGAGAATTTTACTGCTTAAAGTTTTCAGTGAGGCAGTGGTCGGCCTGGAGTCAGGAAGACCAGAGTTCAAAGCCAGCCTCAGACACTTCCTATCGATATGACCCTGGGGAAGTCACTTAACCTCTGTGAGCCTTAGTTTCTTCAATTGTAAAATGGGGAAATAATACCTACCTTGCAGGGTTGTTATGAGGATAAAATGAGATAATATTTGTAAAAGGCACCTGGCATACAGTAGGCTGCATATAAATTCTTATTTCCATCCCTTTTAGAAAGTATTATAGTATTTTGAACAGGATGGTGGCATAATTGATTTTTTAAAAAGGGGCTAAATAGGGCTAAAGTCCTGTTTGAATATTGAACACCTATAATAATGATAACTGAATTTTTATTTTTTTGCCCTTGAAAGTTTACAAAGTACTTGGCATACTTTACCCCATTCGAGCCTAGCCATACAGGTATTAATCTGCACTTGAGAGATAAGGAAACTGAAGTTCCTAAAAGTTAAGTGACTTGCCCAAAGTCTTTTAGCTTATGTGTGTCCCAGATAGGGTTTTGTTCCAGGTCTTCTAAGCACCACATTTTGCACTCTATGGACCACCCCTCAAACCAAGGCACCAGTAACTTAATTAAGGTCCTTCTGTTTGCAAAGAAATGTGCTAGGTAGGAGGAATATAGAAACTAATACTTTACTGTTTGTTCTCAAGGAACTGGAGGATGCACAATGTATAGAATAAGTAAATACAAAGTAATTTGAGGAGGAAGAGAACATTAATCTTGAAAGAACTGATAATCTCTTCATTAATTTCTTCAGTATATAATACCATACTGAAACCCTGCTCAGATTTTTCGCTGTGGCATTCAGGTGATTGTGGACTCTTGAAGGGTTTGTAAGAGTATATGCTCTGACAGATTTTTATCAGAGTAGAAAAACTCTCTCTATCTGAAACACAATTTTCTGTCCTTCCTGTTATTCCTTATCTTCCTTCCTAAATTCTCTAGTCTCAACATCATTTCTAGACATATTACCTCTCCTTGCATTCCCAGGTGCACCTTTGCTCAGGCCTTACTTTCCTCTCTTTGCATTTTAATACTTTGACTCAATCAGGCATTTATTAAGCACCTACTAAGTTCCTGGAGGTGGTAGGCACTGGGGCTGCAAAGACAGATGAAATAGCACTTGCCCTAATGTAGCTTACGTTGTACCATCCACCAGTTCAATTTTCTATGAATTATCTTGAATCCTTTTTTCTTTGTCCTGTCCAAATTTATTCCTTTTCAAACTCTAACCTGAGGTTATTCCCATGATCGGCTCTCTCTACTTCTGTTCCAGTGCTGCTGAATATGGGAAGAAGCCACATACTTGCTGATTGCATTCCTGTTCTCCACTGGGCCCTGACAACTGTCTTTGATCTATTAACTCTTTCTTGATTATATCACTCCACAGCACTCACCACAGGTCCTGTTCCAAATCTTGTCTCCTCAAACAATTTTCAACCTCCCCTCATCAGGTCTTCTCAGGCTTGCATCATGCTTAAAAAAAGAAAATCTGCCTTTCTTTCTTTCAGTAGCCTCAGTTCTGTGCCTCAACTCCCTTTATCATCATTTCCCCATTCTCTCCTTTGCTCCAGGCTCTGATAAAGAGGTAGTCTTTCTTTCAAAGGTCAAACCCTACTGGTATTCTTGATCCCATTTCTTCACTATTCCAGGAAATTAATTACTCCTTTGGTTATCTCTCTTTCAGCTTCTACATACCTAGACCTTCCTTATCCTTAGTAAATCTTTACTGGAATTTACTGTCACCTCAAGCTATAATCACACATCTGTCCTCCCTTTCACAGCCAAAGTACTATAAAAAGCTGTCTACATGTACTGCATCCACTTTTTAACTCACTTGTTTTTCAGTCCTTTCAAACTTGGTTTTTTACCGAAACTGCTCAAGGTCATCAATGATCTTTGTTGCTAAATCTAATGTACTTTCAGTGTTCATTCTTCCTCATCTCTGCAGCATTTGATGACACTTTTTTTCTGAATGTTCTCTTCCCCCTGGTTTTTTATGGTACTCTTCAATCCAGGTTCTCTTCTTACATGTCTGTCCAATACTTTTCTGCTCTCTATATGTTGGTGTGTCCAGGTCTGTGCCTTGGGCTCCCCTCATTTTTAGTAATCTTATTAATTCCCATCCCTATGCAGATGACTCTGAAATGTACACACCCAACTTTCATCTCTTTCCTGAGCTCTAGTTCTGCATCACTAATTTCCTAACAGGTGTCTTATAGATATTTCAGACTCAACATATCCAACACTTTCCCCCCTAAACCTACTCCTCCTTCTAACTCCCCTATTTCTGCTGGTCATCCATATTTACAACTCAGGAGTACTGAACATTCATTCTTTCACTGCCCCCCCCCATCATAAAGCCAAATTTTGTCATTTCTACTTGACTATTCCTTTAAACCCAAATCCCTCTGGTTCTCACTGATTGGCCAATAGTAGGTCCCAGGCCAAGCCCCATTTGGTTGTTGTTTGGGCCCGATTGGCTCAAAGTGAATGTAAATTGCAGTTGTTTCTATTTTGGCCAGACACACTGAGGGTCTTTCCCTCTCAGATTGTGTTTCTATTTTTTTTTTTATTTTTTGAGACCTCTGCCACATTTCTTACCTAGCCTTAATTACTGAATGGGCATTGCCTCAGTAATATTGAAAACTGTTGAATACCTTAGCTTAAAAAGGCCGAGATCTCTCCCTGCATCCAGGACCATCTCCAATCATAGTGATCTATGTCCTGCCACTGGACTCTGGAGGAGAAAATGAGGCTGATAACTTTGCACAGCTCAGCCTTTTTGCAAGTCAAAACTTTGCTCTCCTGATGTCATTGTCCTCTTGGAGAATGAAGGACAACCAAGAACAACGTTTCTGCCTCCACAGTGTCTCACATCTATACCCTTCTCTCTATTCAAACGGCCACTTCTGGCTGACTCAAGCCTTCATGTCCTCTTGTCTGGACTGTTTCAGTAGTTTCCTAATTGATTTCTTTACATTTAGCCTCTCTTCTCCAATCCATCCTCTATACATTTGCCAAATTAATTATTATAAAATTAATATGCCATGTTACTCTTCCTGCTCAGGAAGCTTCTGTGGCTCCCCCTCACCTCTTGGATAAACTACAAATTACTTTGTTTGCCATTTAAAGCCAAGTCTGGCTCCAACATATCTTTCTTTTTTAAATTATTATTAATTTATTTTTAGTTTTCAACAATCACTTCCACACCCTTTTGAGTTTTAAATTTTTCTCCCTCTCCTTCCTCCCCTCCCTCCCCAAGACAGTGTGCAATCTGATAAAAGCTCTACATATACATTCCTATTAAAAATATTTTCACATTAGTCATGTTGTAAGGAAGAATTAGAACCAATAGGAGGAACCACAAGAAAGAGGAAACAAAACAAAACAGAAGAAAAAGAAAGAGCAAATAGTATCCAACATATCTTTCTAAGCTGACAACGCATTACTCCAGTTCCTGTCATATGCTTTATATTACAATCTACTTGCTGTTCCCTATGCATAACATTCCATCTGCTGTCACTTTGCTTTGTCTTAGCTGCCCCTTATACCTGGAATGCCTTTCCTTCTCATCTCAGCCTTGGAACATGTAGCTCCTGTCTCAAGTGCCACCTTTTGTGAGAAGCCTTTCCTGATTCTCTCATTAGTCTTATTTCCTTACAACCCATTGAAATTGCTTTGTATTTACTAATCTGTGTACATACTGTTTCCTCCTAATTAAATGTAAGTTTTTTCAGGGAAGCAACTTTTTTTGGAGTGATGGTGGTGTCATGTAATAGATGGTTAATAAATACTTAATGAGTACAGTGCAGACCTACAGAATGGCTTGTTAGTACTTACTGATGTTTATTGCTGGAAGACCAGACTAACTGAGTTCAGTGAAGCTTGTGACTGAAGAGCTGACTGCATGGT